CTGGGGAATTCTGGGAGTTGAAGTCCATAGTTCTTAAAGCTGCCAAGGTTGAGAAACACTGGTTTAGATGATCCATTTCTTAAAAAAAAGACTTTTGGCATTGTTTTTTCGCTTTGTCAAAAATATCTCTCTTCCTCAGCTGCTATTTGTCCCTTTAGAAGGTGCTGTAGAAGGTGCTCTTTTTTGCAATGAAAAGAACGCATCCAAGATCCTAGGCCTCCCTTTTTCAGAAAGTAAAAACTTATGAAAAGTCCCAAGATCAAGCTGTTTAAAGTGACTTTTAGTTTGTCACTTGTAAAAGTATATTCTGATTCATGATTGCTTCTCTTTTTTTGAAGGAATAATGAAGCCAATATTGACTGCCAAGAAAACAACAGTGATGGAAGGTGAAAACGTACGTTTACACTGTGAAGTACCAGAAGAAAAGCCACCTTTTTATTTCACATTTTATAAAACTCCACAGTCTGCAAATGCAGCTGAATATGAGAGGAAAAGGGAATCAAAACATGAAAATTTTGTTGAGTTAGAATTCCCTATTGATGCTGGAGACAGTATTTTGTATTTTGAATGTTCTGTCCAAATGAATTCAGTAACAGGAACTTTATGGACCTCAGAGCATAGTAACCGAATAATTGTCACCGTTACTGGTAAGTTAATTAGGCTTTTACTTTTAAAAGTAATCATTAAAATTATGCTTTTTAATTTATTTGTTATATCCACAACATTTTTGTCTTAAAAAAATGCTGAGTTGCAAACCAAGTTGTAAATTCCCATTTTCCCAGATACACACATTCTCACTGTGAGCCCAAAGAGCCTAAACATATTCTTCTCCTCATTTCTTGACTCATTAAGCAGTTATTTAGTAATGGTTCTTTCTACATCTCATACATCTTGGTCAACTTGGCTTTAGTAGCCAACTCAAAAGTTAAATCAATGAAATATTCCTAAAAGTCAAATCAATGAAATATTCCTAAAATCAATGAAATATTCCTAAAAGAGAAAATCTATGAATGATTCCAATTTTCTACATGCTGTTGATAAATATCTGTTATGCTGGATGGATCTTTGAACCAACAAGGCAGTTTTTACATTCTCTGACAGAGATGTTCCAGGTATTATAGCTGACCCTTGGTTGAATGGACTAAATTGCAGAAATTGAAGTTAGGGAGAAAAGTTGAAGGACTAGGTGAGACACAGCTGTGCCAGATCTATGTACAGGTAGTCCTCATTTAGCGATCACAATTGGGACCTGCAACTTGGTCGTTACGCGAAGTGGTTGCTAAGTGAAACTGCTTATGATCTCACTTCAGCTTTCCTTTGTTTTACAGACCTGCAAAGGTCATAAATGTGAGGGTTGGTCTTAAAGTTACTTTTTCATCACCATCGTAACTGTGAATGATTGCTAAATGAGGCAGTCGCTGAAGGAGGACTACCTGCATATTCTTAGGTCTGACATAATAATATAACATGTGAGATATGAATATGGTGGAAATCCAAATTAAGTAGAAGAAAGAGTTACCCAAGAAGGGAGATAATTTACTCAGGCATTTCTATATAAGGATTCTGCACCAGTTCAGAAGAAGTTCTAGCCCTCTGTGATTCCATAACATCAGCTGTTTGAAGTTGAATTCATTTATTTCTCACTCTGAAACAACAGTAGAACTATTTTTTTAAGCTGTGGGTGGTCTCCTTCTCCTGGGCTTCAGGTCTTTCAAGGAAAATGATGGCTTGAAGCCTTTGCTGGTTTCTCTCAGCAGGATTTTGTGCATACAGTCAGGTAAAGGCCTACAACATGAATTAAGAACATGGTACATATGGGTGTGGGTCTCAAATGTATTTTTTTTCCTGTTGTCTATTGCTTGTAAAATTTAGTATTTTCTGCATTATGCAAAGCTGTACTGGTTACACAACTAATGTTTTCTTTTCATATTTGGAGAAATACAGGATGCATATAATTATCACATCCAGGAAAGTTCCTAGAACTTTTCTTGTTTTATTTGTATTTTTTCTTACAATTGTTTATATTACTTGTAAGGTGCTTTGGAAGGATTTGTATCCTGAAAGGCAGCAGATGAAGATGATAGATAGATAGATAGATAGATAGATAGATAGATAGATAGATAGATAATAGAGATCGATATAGATAAAAGATAGACCAATTGCCTGATATCCCAATAGCTCTGTGTGTGTGTGTTTGTGTGTCAGAGGGGGAGAGAGAGAGAAAAAAAAAATCCTCTCTCACCCCTATGGGTGGTATGTGTCTTCCTCAATTTCAGGTCCTCTACCAAAGGCCTGGGAGTTTGAGGGTTCTGAAACAGTATCTTAGCTGTTCCTAGCACTGCACTCTTCTGGACAAGAATTCTGATGTTGTTCCTGGGATCTGTTGGAGCCACTCTCCCAGCTTAGGAGTCACAGCCCTGAGTGCTCCTACCACTACTGGGACCACATTGGCCTTTACTTTCCACATCCTCTCTAGTTCTTCCTTCAGGCCCGGGTACTTCTCCAGCTACTCATACTGCTTCTTCCTGATGTTGCTGTCACTTGGCATTGCTACATTTATCACCACTGCTGTCTTCTGGTCCTTGTCTACTACCACTGGTTGATTGGCCAATACCTGCCTGTCTGTCTGGATCTGGAGGGTCTAGCCCATATATTGTGCAGATGTTCCTGTACACAATGCCAGCTACTTGGTTGTGCTGTTCAATGTATGCTGTTTCTGCCTGCATCTTACACTTTGCCACTATGTTTTGGACTGTCCCTGAGGCCTTTCTGCACAGTCTGCACCTTGGGTCCTGTCTACTGTGATAAGACCCCCGCTTCTATGGATCTGGTGCTTAGTGC